ACCCCCTAGTGTAGACCAGGGGTAGGAGACCTGACCAATGTTCCCTATAAGCTGAGTACTTCTGCAGATTCTCAAGAAATTTAAATGCTGCCAAAGTGATTAACAGAGCACTCACAGCTAGGTTTTGTGTTTCTAGTGGTGGTGCATATTTGCTCATGCCCCGGTGCACATAAAAATTTATTCCACACATGGGTGGAAAAAATCCAGATATGGATAGAAAAAAGTAGAGGGAACACTGGTTCTGACTCCAAATCTGGTGTAGACACCAATTCTGGAAAAGTCTTCTGTGAAGTAATACTGAAATGTTTATGTGAAAATGAAAGAGAGTGGGAAGGAAGCTCAAACAGAAACCTCTGGCATGGTGCCACGGCCCTTTTCATAGCAATTTAAATATAAATCAGTCTACAGAAACTCTTAGATTCAGGCCTGACAGGCTGTATTGGTGGGTTCAGGGCCAGCATTAGAGTGGAGCAAGGAGGACAATAGCCCTGAGCCACATGCCCCAGAGCAGGAGTAGCCAACCCAAGGCTCTCGAGCCACATGCGGCTCTTTGCTTAAAGAAATGTGGCTCTTGCTAGTTTAGAGCCATAAGCCTGGAGTGCTCATGGACAGCTGCTCTGCACACGCACCCCACGGCCTGGAGGGAGAAGTGTGTGGTGGTGGCGGCTCCAAGATGCAGGCATTAGGTTAGAGTAGAGGGGAGGGAGGCTGGGGATGCTGGGCTCTGGGGTAGGGGAGGGGGATTGGGTTAGAGCAGGGGGAGGAGGGGATGTCTGGCTCTGGGGGAAAGGGAGAGCATTGGGTTAGAGCAGGGGGCTGAGAGTGCCTGGCTCTGTGGGAGGGAGAGGGCACTGGGTTTGAGCAGGGTGGGGGCGGGGACTGAAGAACCATAAACTCAAAGTCTTCATGAATGCAGCATAAGGCAGCCAACACAGATGTCATATTTAAATTCCAGGGGGGGAAAGAATCAGCATATACCTGATGGGTTTCTTTAAAGAAAATTCAAAGGCTATTGTTTGCCAGGCTGAAGCAATTATTCTGAGATATGAGTCTCTCCCTTATTGTTTTTGAACCTCTCATATTTGCAGTCTGGAACAGACCTGAATTTTTAGAACAATAAAAAAGCCATAATCTGCATAAGTAAAAAGAGGAAACCATACCAGAGATCAACAAGCTGGAGTGAAACAGGCACTTCAAATTGTGCTAATTTACTTCTCAGTTCATCTTAATTTTAAAAATCTCACAGGACATAATAGGGCAGTACCTAAAATACATGGTGGGGATACTTATTTTTAGTGTGAGAATATTACTATATTTTTAAAGGTTGTTGTTGGTTTTTTAAATTTGCTGTTTGTTCCTTGTCAAGTTCTCTGAAGATCTATGGACTGGCCGTGAATGTTTTAAGTAACTAGAGACTTTTTTATTGTTTTTTGTCCAAAATGTCCTGTAATATTATTTTATCACTATACTCTGTGTACTATATCTATCTATCGATAGATAGACATATAACAATAAATATATAATTTGTGGATCTTTGTACCCCACAGCTATTTAGCTTTTTGTCTCTAACTGGTTGGCCACCTCTGCCCCAGGGGATACTATCTGGTGGGGCTCAGGCAGCAGGCTTCAATTTCAAAACATTGCAGAAATCCAGCAAGTGAGCAGCTAAGGGAGGCAGGGTGGGGGCTCACTCTTTAGTTTCTGTCTTGAGGCCCAGTGAGTCTAACATCAGCCCTGAATGGGTTTTTCAAAGGCACTCATACCTTGGCTTAATTTATTCCCATGATAGTCAAATGTAAAATTCCCATTGATTTCAATAAGTGTAGAGTTAAGCCAATGCTGACTGTTTTGATCCCGCTCTATAGGATACTTAATCAACTTACGATGCTCTGGAATGCTTCAGTCATGCACTGCTGCATTATTAGTGTAGCAATGATAATTCACAGCTGTTAACATTCCGCTGGGCTAATTGGGGCAGTAAAAGGAGCCCATATCCCAAGATGGGAAGAAACCTAGCAGAAAAATGCATGACCATACCTTGTGTCAGGTGCAGAGCTGGATAATCAGAAAGTGTGGAAGACAATTCAATGAGCATGTCAGATCAGTTCCCATGACCACTTTGAAAAGAGAGTCATCTGCGCAATTAAAACATCTATTCTAACACTTCCTAATGAGCCATAGTTACTAATTAAGGGATAACAGTTCAGATGGAGACCTATACAAGGCAATAAATAGCATTTCTGGATGATTAAGTGCTGAAGAGTAACTGAAGTGTTGAATCATCACTTAAATAATTTAGTAAGTATCTATTCTAGTATCTGGAACATTTTCCTGATTGTGGGTTCAGAAGTAACATACTTCCACAAACCATATTACAAAAATAACCTTTCTGTTGCAAGGGTTTAAAAAAACCCTATGTTTCTGTTTCCAGCACTGACTTTCAATTGGCCATTTTTATAGCATACTGCAAGATTCTTTAGTTGGAATATGTTTTCCCTCCCAACACTAGCTGATGGATAACTGAGCAACATGGAGGAGAAAAGGTATGTGTGTTGGGAAGGAGGTGACTCACTACTAACTCACAGCTAAATAAATAAATTATTCAGAGAAATAAATTGTATTTATTGGCCAGATATGCAGATAATGAGCTTTTCAGAAGCGTAAAACAGATAATCTCAGGCTCAAAGCTTTAGTGAATACACTTTTCACATGACACTTTTAAATAGAATATAATTGTAAAATAAAAATTGAGTGCTGTCTTAGGATACACGTGCTAATCCAGAGCAAGAACATTGTATCACCTGGAGAGCCAAAAAAGAAAACAAACTTGATGATAAGTGAGCAAAGCATTGCAGCTGTGAAGAAGATTCCTCTATTATGCAGAAAAAATAACCACTGAATATAGTTCTGCAATGGAAGATTCTCTGGCTTTCCTGTTCTGACTAGTGCAAAGGTTACAGAGTCACTTCAGTCATTTGGAAGCTAGGGACAATGCACGAACTGTGGCATCCAGGAGGCAAACATGAGGTTGAGGGATGGATTTGTAGCTGTGTAGTTGTGGGGGAGGATCCCTCTTTCCAGTGCACGTCTGAGGGTCCAGTCCAAACACCTTACTGGGGTAAGCTGATCCTTGCCCCTATAGCTAATGAATTACGCTGTTTTAAATGGCTTTCTTAGTTCTCTTCAGTCAGACCACACTCCATACATGCAATATATGGGTATTTCTTTATTTTAGTTTATATTATTTTATATTGTAACCATAATAAGCAGAGATGTAACTAATTCCTGCCCTTTGGACTAAGTTTTCATGAGAGGTCTGAAAAGCTTCCAGGGTCAGAGAACACTAATAAAATGGTTGCATATGCCGTGGATAATTTTATCTATAACCTAGGTAGGCCAAAATGCAGAAGCCAAATCAGCCATCTTGTGCTTCCATTGATTTCCTGTGACAAGTGGCTGGAATGGGAATAGGTCTGGAAAACAGGCCTGGAGATGGAGGAAAATATGGTATGTGGAGAGTTTCACACATCCAAATGGAAGCTGCATGGAACACAAATTAAAGCAGGCAGCTGAATATGAGCCAGAGATGCCTGAGGCAGCAGACTGTGCGCCAGTTAGAAAGAGAAGTGATCCCAGAATTCCTAGAGCCCAAAGTCGTAGTTTGGAGTCACTGTTTAAAAAGTTTGGCCTTCCTTGAATCATAGAGGGAAAGTCTGTTCAGTAGTTATTATTTGATTTATTATACTTTGAAATAAACCATATTTATCTTCCTTATGTCTTAAGGCTATAATACTTTTCTGTTTTCACTAATTCAAAACCTGTAAATGTGCTTCACCTTAAGATTTTCATTACCCTTTTTTTAAAAAAAAGTCACAGCAGCCTACTTATTTTAAGGTGGTGCCTCTCAGTTGTTGCATATATTGAAACCATGAAAGTGGACTAAACCTGAAGATTGTCATAACCTTTCAAGATTTATTAACTAGAGAGAGCTGAAATAACTGCAGCTGAGAAAGTCAGTCTGCCTTAAATATCTCTATTTTGGTGTTAGGAAACTCAAAAAAGTAGCCTTCCAGTCAAAAGTAATGTAGCGTTGTCTGGAAAATGTGAAACTCACTACAGAAGTTCTGTCCAGTGTACTTTTAGGGCTTAAATCTTAACATGAGAAATTTTTTTTAAAGTGTCCATCATTGTGAGGCATATAGACCTAATATTTTTTAGCAGAATACTAAATGACATGGAGTGATGCTAGTGCCTTAAACAATCAAGATGCTATCATTTTACTTTGGTTAAAGATACTATTGTTACACAACTTGCTTTCCAACGTAAGGTGTGCAGAAGAGATGCTATGAGACTACAGTTTAGTGCTCTGTGTTTTCCTGGGCACTGTGACTGCGCATCCGGGAGTCCCCAACCCTGCATGCTCCTTCACAGCCTGATGTGACTCTCTGCCAGCTATAGAGTAAACAGGGTTTATTGCTTCTCTGAGATACAGCCCAGCACAGGCTCGATGTTGACATAGGAGCCAGGGCAGACAGCCTTAGTCTTCTTGGGGGGAAGGGGTTTACAGGCCCCTGAATCCCCCTGTACTGGACTTAGTCTGCTTCCTTCATGCTTCCCCCAGACAAGAATGCTCCTTCCCCCAGCCACCAGTCACTCATTCTCTCCAGGCAGCCACACCCCCTCCTTTGTTCAAACTCCTTTCCCTGGCCAGCTGTGAAGGGGCTGGGCCATTGTCTATGTGCCATAGACACACACAGTCTCTGCCGACCAGCATAGGGCAGTAGGGGTCACACACAGCATAACACAGTGAATGCAAAACCAGAGTGAATTCAGAGCCAAAAGAGTAGATAGAACACCTTCTCCCCCCTCCAGCCCCCCACATCACAGGCACCAAAACCTAAAGTATGGTATAGCTGGGTTTTCTTTTCATAAGGAGCTGGTAGTTCTAGCTTTTGCTCCAAATGTGGTTATTCAAATGTGGCATTTCTTTAACTCAACAGGAAAGAGCAAGACTATGTTGAGAAGTGCTGGAAAGATGTGCGAGTGGGAGACTTTGTGCAGCTGCAATGTAATGAGATCATCCCAGCCGATATCCTGTTACTGTTCTCCTCTGATCAGAATGGGATCTGTCACTTGGAGACTGCAAACCTCGATGGGGAGACCAATCTTAAACAACGACAAGTTGTGAAAGGATTTTCTAATCAGGTAGCCCTGTAGGACATATGACAAAGAATATTCAAGATTTTCTGCCTCTGTTTCCATGACAACTAGTTTAATGAAATACAATATAAGCACATTCTGAAGAGCTGAATAACACTTGCTCAGTCTCACAGAGTCATAGATGCACGTCATCTCAGGGCTTGAATGTATAGTATGATAAGCAGCAGAGTGCTTCAACAGGTTTGTGTAGGTGTGCCACAGAAGTGCACAAATATAAATGAATGTTGTGTAACACAAATAAGTGCATATATTATTCTGTTTCCTGCTTGTAGGAACCAATGACAGTACCTTCTGGGTTGCAAGTGGTATTCTACTTCCTGTTTTTGCAGAAAAACTTGCCAGCTGTCTACACTGGCCGCTTGAATATCTGCAAGAACATTGACGATCTCATGTAAGATTGTCAGTGTTCTTGAGGAAATACTGTGCTGCTCCCATTTGGGCAAAAGCCCTCTTGCACAAATGCTTTTGCGCAAGAGGGCTAGTGTAGACAACACGGTATTGTTTTGCGCAAAAAAGCCCCGATGGCGAAAATGACGATTGGGGCTTTCTTCCGCAAAACTGCGGCTAGATTGGCATGGACGCTTTTCTGCAAAAAGTGCTTTTGCGGAAAAGCGTCCGTGCCAATCTAGACGCTCTTTTCCGCAAATGCTTTTAACGGAAAAACTTTTCCATTAAAAGCATTTGCGGAAAATCATGCCAGTCTGTATGTAGCTAGAAGTGTTGGATGCCCTCTGCAGACAATTCTGAATGACATTTAATACACCCCTCCCAATTCAGTCTTTCGGCAAGAGAGAATAGGTGCATGTTTCATTCCCAGACTCTCTTATGGCCTTTGAGTTTTTATGGTTAGGTTCCTATACATCACTTTGACATATATTAACCAGTTCTAGTGCACAGTAAGCTGAAAATAACTTTGTGAATGGCCCTGCTTGAGAGTACAATATATTATTCTTTAAGATATTAGGCCAAATTTTAATTTAAACTAAAATTGAAGATTGGCTGCTTAGTCATCAGCTTGAATATACAGAGGTGAGAAATTAAATATTTGTTGTTCACACTTTTGCATAGCTCATTGTTCCTTTCTCAGAAGAAATTGATAAATCCTAAAAGTGAGAGAGCTTGACCTTAAAGGAATACTCTTAAATGACTAGTGAGAGGTGTCAAATAAGACAAAACTAATTTAATCAGATACATCAGAATGAATGGAAAAAACTTGTTTCATTGGGAGCTATAATTGCAAATGGGGTAAAAATAAAGAACATATAGATAATTCCTGTAACTGAATATCAATAGTTTTAATGCACAAACATAGTAACCATTATTGCACAAATCTCCAAATATTTTTAGCACAAAAATATTAATGTTTTGTTTTTTGTTCATTTCAATAGTTCAGTAGTTAAGTTAAGAATGGGAAATGTGGTTTACCAGGGTTAGCCCCTGGTGGGCCACCAACACTTTATTTGCCTGTGCATTGGTAGATAGAGCCACTTGCAGCTCCCATTGGCCGTGGATCATTGTCTTGGCCAATGGGAGCTGCAGGAAGCAGTGTCCCTGTCTGTGCTACTTCCTGCAACTCCCATTGGCTGGGAAGGGCTATCTGCAGCCAATGGGAATTTCAAGCATCTGTACCTGTGAACACATAGATAAATAAAGCACTGAGCCACTTATTGCCCACCCCTGAGTTAAGTAGCTTTAGAAGCAAATTCATCCCTACTCCATCCCCTTCATTTAATTCAGTGGGGACTCCTAAGATATTAGCTGTCATAAAAGGCATTCCTCATAGATCTTGAAAGTCTAAGGAAGTTAATGCTCCATAAGATCATATGAAATTTGTGATTTAAGGTGTACTTACATGAAAATTTTTATGAAAGGATGGGGAGAGAACAAAGAAATATGTTTTCTCAGCAATTTAACATTTTATGTTTCGTTCCCCCAAGCCCATACTATTACTCTGAACAGCAAGACAATTCCAGATGATAGGTCTTTAAAGCATAAGAACTCAATCCTTCACTGATCTCTCTTGGTATGTCTACACTACAAAGTTAATTCGTACTAACAGACGTTAGTTCGAATTAACTTTGATAGGCGCTACACATACGAACCGCTAGTTCGAACTTAATTCGAACTAGCGGAGCGCTTAATTCGAACTAGGTGAACCTCATTCTACGAGGACTAACGTCTCGTTCAAATTAAGTAGTTCGAATTAAGGGCTGTGTAGCCACTTAATTCGAACTAGTGGGAGGCTAGCCCTCCCCAGCTTTCCCTGGTGGCCACTCTGGGCACTACCAGGGAAACTCTTCTGCCTCCCCTCCCGGCCCCAGAGCCCTTAAAGGGGCGCGGGCTGACTACGGTGCCCGTGCCAGGTGCAAGCCTGCCAGCACCCAGCCAGAAGCCCCTGCACCTGGCACAAGATGAGCCAGCCACCCGCTGCCACCCAGCCCTCCACCTCTTCCTGGGACCAGGCTGGTGGCTCCCAGGAGCCTGCCCGGGACCGCAAGAGGCGGATGCCTGCCTGGTCTAGTGCGGAGATCGTGGACCTCATCCATGACCTCCGCACTAGGCACA